TTCCACATAACGTTTGACGAAGTCCTGGCTAGGAAACCTCCAGGGTAGTAGACAGGAGTAGTTAATGGTCCTTAGGTGACAAAGTATGGTGGATGGATTTTCTACCTATCGCTCCGTACTCCGCACCCCTACTGTACGTATTAAGAGCAGAAACGGCAAGAAAATATAGTCTACGTCGAGCCGCGGGAGTCGCCTATAACTTCGCAGACGTTATGGCAATGTGCAGTACTTCTCTGCCCCTACGTTTTGCGCCTTTCCAGTTTGTACATTACGTCTTCTTCCCTAGCCGACAGCCCGTGTTTGTTGAGCCATCCATCGTAATCGCACATGGATTGTTACGCTCCCCGCCACCTTGCAAGCCGATTCCTGCCATGAATCGCTCTCTCCGCGCGCTTTTCCAGTCGCGTTGGTAGGGGCTCACCAGAACGGGGAAAATCAGATTGTTTAGTCCCTTAAGCAGTACACCCTCTCTCAATTTCTTTCCCTACCTTCCTCCTTCGATTTTACCCTCTTTAATTTTACTTTTTCTACCCCAGGAGTTGTAAACCCACCCCTTCTGTTACCCTCCTTTCCTTTAACTCCGCCCGAGCCTGCTTCTGTCAATTCTACCCGCTCTCTCCAGACTTTATTGATTTACTTTTCTCGCGTTACCGCCTTGTGCCCAGGATATTTCCTGCCAATAAATCCGTGCACCGAGTATTATACAACTACCAAGGATGCTACCTGTTGGTTGGAGCTATCGTGGTCTTGGCTTGTAGCCACCTCTCAACATGTCGCGCTCCTCAGCAGGATTTGCAGACTTCTTCCCAACCGCACCGTCCGTCCTCCAGCAAAAGCGCAAGACCATCCGGGAGCGGCCTCGCTCCGAGGCCCATCCGGAACACGACCATAGCGATGGAGGGCGTGCGCTTCCTGAAGAGCCCAAGGCAATCCTTGAGTTGACACCGGGTCTTTACGCAGAGGAACAGAATTTGCCGACTGTCAATGGTGATGGACTTGCAAGTTCTGACAGTGTGAGCGTTTCGGCTGCCCGCCCATCGACACATACGCATAGCACGGCATATGGGAATGAAGCGCGTCTCGATACGCTTACGCCACTCACTAACGCGGAGTCGTCGCCCGCTCAGAGGCTCAGTCCATCTCACATAAGGATAGCCAACGGGATCGAAGATAGTTCGGGCACCATGAAGACCGACGACATAAAGCCCGCCATGACGCCCCTGCAAACCCCACCAACGCCCCGATCGCAGAGTCGCACTTCTGGAAACGTGAGGGGCTGGAAGTTAGTCTATGACCCAGATTCAGAGAAGCGGATATCATCGAAGGAGAAGCGAAGGAAAGCGCGATATGTGGATATAGTGCCTAATGGGCAAGATGATCGACCAGCAGACCCTCGTTTAAAGATATCCAATTATTCGCGAGGTGGTGGCTGCAAGCAGAAGACCAAGTTTCGGCCAGCTCCTTACTCATTGAAACACTGGCCATACGACGCTTCGACCACTATTGGCCCTGGACCTCCGGTACAGATAGTGGTCACCGGGTTCGATCCCTTGACCCCAATCGCCCCAATAAATGCGTTGTTCTCGAGTTTCGGGGAGATTGCTGAAATCAACAACCGCACCGATCCAATAACCGGTAGATTTCTGGGGATATGTTCAGTCAAATATAAAGATAGCGCATCTTTCAGAGGAGGCGGACCCGTTCTCGCGGCGAACGCAGCCAGGCGAGCCTATTATGAGTGCAAAAAAGAGCAACGGATTGGAACGCGCAGAATCAGAGTCGAGCTAGACCGGGATGGTATCGTCTCGGCAAAGATAGTAACAAGGGCAGTCGACTCTCAGAGGATGGGGGACAGGAACAACCTTTTGAGTGCAGAGGAACCTAAAACGGGCGTCTCGGCAAAGAATAATGAGCCTCCACCGACGGCTCCCAAGGGCCCTTCTGGAAGGTCTCAAATGCGCCCTACGGTCCCAGTCCCGGAAGGGCCGAGGGCAAGCTTTTTGAAGCCTGTTGTACCATCACTGGTGGAAGAAATACCTATACTGAGTCAGATCAAGCGGGACCCATATATATTCATCGCACACTGTTACGTACCGGTCCTCAGTACCACCGTTCCGCATCTGAAGAAAAGGCTCAAACTATTCGATTGGAAAGACATACGTTGCGATAAGACAGGGTACTACATTGTGTTTGAGAATTCAAGGCGCGGCGAAGAAGAAACTGAAAGATGCTACAAGATGTGCCATATGAAACCTCTGTTCACATACATTATGAACATGGAGAGTCAGCCCTATGGGAATCCCAATTACGAACGAAGTCCAAGTCCCCAGAGACTGCAGGCCGAACAGCGAGAGCGAGCCGAAAAGGACAGGGTGAAAAGGGAAGCAGAGTTGGACATCGAAGAAGAAAAAAGACAACGTGCCCTGGATCTGGACCCTTGCAGAGAGGTGGTGGCGATTATAATACGGGACCTACGAGACAAATTACTTGAAGATGTGAAGTCTCGAATTGCAGCACCGGCCTTGTATGACTACCTGGATCCAGTTCGACATGCTACAAAGAGGGAGAGGCTGGGAATTCCTGAACCGGAGGGGGCTAAAAGGCCTATGTTCCGCATCGACCTCGACAGTTCAGCTGGCACACCTGACTCACGCTCTGACTTGTCAACCAGTAGGAATCCTTTGGGTTCGTCTGGTCTGAATATACTTGCTCTTCCACGGATCAGAAAGGCACATCGACTAGATCGCACGAACGCTGCGTTCTTGGATGAAAGAAGAAAACAGCCCTTACGAAAGAAGGAAGTAAGACCACTTTACCATCGTCTCCAGCAACTACACGATGTGGACGATTCAGACGATGAGCAAAGGACACCCTTTACCAGAGACACTGAAGATTTAGACAGTCGTGCCCCGAGCCGGATGAGTTCTGAGACCTCGGATTCAGAGGAAGACTCGGATCGGATCGGTTCTGAAACGTTGGAAGTTCCTGTTGCCGAAAGGCAGACCGATAGTGATAGGTCTCACGATATAGACATCACGAGAGATGATGAATCTGGCGTTTCGCCAAGCGAGGCTCCCGAGCAGGTCCCTGACCGACTCCAATCTTCATCACGCAAAAGAAAGGTGGATGATGACCGAGCAAAGGCACGGAAGAAACAGAAAGGAGGCGACGAATGCTTCGATATGGATGATGCGGCAGGATCTGGGGAGGACCAAGACATGGCATGCTCCCCATCTCGGTCAGATACCATCCAGGATGTCATCGCAGCGGCAGATGAACCATCTGTAACTGGCACGGATCCCTTGGCCTCCCATGGTCAATTGGCAGGGCATGGTCAGAAAGATGATGCAGTGGCACTCATGGACTCATGGGGTGCTGATGTTGAGTACAAAGGTCTCGGCAAAGACCATCGCCATCTTGTATCCCAAGTTGGTAGTTTTGAGCATGGCAAGCAGACTGAAGAGCCTAGAACGGAGATTGAATGGCGAGTATCGAATGACGAGCCTCGCTCAACGGTCGATGACGACGAATCGATTGTGCTGGATCTCGACGGTTGGCAGAATTTAGTCAAGGATGAAGAGGATCTTTGCTTTCTTCGTGATGTCTTACAAGAATTCTCGAGATCCAATGTTGGCAACCTTTCAGCTTGGGCTTGGAGACAAAAGGAGATTAAGGCACTTAATCGCCCTGAAGAGTCTGGTCCGGTACGCGAGGAGACCGTCATTCCCGGTTACTACGTTTCAAACACGACTGGGGCAGCCAGAACTGAAGGAAGAAAACGGATCTTGGAGTCGGAGAAATCGAAATATCTGCCGCACCGGATCAAAGTTCAAAAGGCCCGTGAAGAGCGAGAAGCTAGGGCGAAGAGCGATCCACATGCTGTTGCTGCAGAAGCCGCAAGGATTGCTGCAGCAAAAACGATTTCGAAGTCCACTTCCCGTTCAACAAGGGTCAACAATCGCCGCCTCATTGCTGATATCAACGCTCAAAAGCAGGCTCTTCCAACTCAGAGCGGCGATGGAGATGTTCTCCGGTTCAACCAGTTGAAGAAACGGAAGAAGCCAGTTCGTTTTGCTCGATCCGCCATCCATAATTGGGGCCTCTATGCAGAAGAGAACATATCTGCGAACGATATGATCATTGAATATGTGGGTGAGAAGGTTCGGCAGCAGGTTGCTGACATGAGAGAACGGCGTTACCTGAAAAGCGGAATCGGTAGTAGTTACCTTTTTCGTATCGATGAAAACACAGTTATAGATGCGACAAAGAGGGGTGGTATTGCCAGGTTTATCAACCACAGCTGTACGCCGAATTGCACGGCCAAAATAATAAAGGTCGATGGCAGCAAGCGAATCGTCATCTATGCATTACGAGACATCGAAAGGGGTAAGTGGGCATGGCATGTATTGGTCAAATTGAAAAGATACTAACATACTCCATAAACAGACGAAGAGCTGACATATGACTACAAATTTGAGAGAGAGTGGGATAGCGATGACAGAATCCCGTGCCTCTGTGGTTCGACCGGGTGTAAAGGTTTTCTCAACTAAGGCTTCCACTGAGTTCCCGGAATCCATGTCAAAAAGAACTTCCTCCCCACTACTCTTTGTCTCTCACTCTCTCACTCTCCCCCTCTCTCCCTCTCTCCCTCTCTCCCTCTCACACACACACTCTCTCACTCTCTCGCTCTCTTACTCTCTCTCCTCCTCTCCCCCTTCCATACCCAGCCACTCAAATCTCGATACCTTCCTCAATTTTGGTCTGCAATTCCATCTATAGATAGATGCATTAGTCTGATGGCGTTCATTTGGAATTGGTCGAGAGAAGGACCAGCATCCGGCTGGTAGGATTGTATTTTATAACAACGAAGTGCGTATCTCATGATATGAGTTGACCGGCTGCAAGGCATTCGTGGAACTTCATGTCCCAAATTAACTTGCGATCCTTTGATTACGTAGAGTTGACAGCCGGTTGGCAGTATTGGTAGATGCAAAGCCGACTGACGGAAGGTCACAAATATTTTTTGTCAATAAGAGACCAACAGATTCCTGGACAGGCATCTCGGGTTCCAGTGACCGGACTCACTTGAACTCACACCTTCGTATAGTTAGACTGCGCGTGGTCAGCAAAGTCAAGGACAAGTTTAACGGAAAGGAATATCAGACCCAAATGACTGGGAAGAAGAAAGTTAGCGATTCCTTCCTTGATCATATATTCATGGCCGCAATTTCCGCAACACAATCTTCCTTCAACAACCTGTGTTTCTAACAAGAGCCTGTGGAGTTCCTTTAGAAGCTGCTCATCATTAAGCGCATCGCCTTCCGGCTTAGTGTCTGGGATTTTGGGAAAACCGAGCTATTTCCGGGTGAGTTCAAACAGCCTATAAAGCAGCATATGGTATGATTTGCATTGGACCAGGAATGTACACGCACCTCATTTGCCATGACTCGCAGCGCTTCCCAATCAATCCGGGGAATAATATTGAGTATGAACTCTGGCTGGAACTCCAGTTCCTGCAATTCTAATTCAGCATCTCGAAAATGCAGCGGATATGATGCTGCTGCTGTTTTGCACCCCTTCACAGCACAGGTCAGGAAGTTGACAGTGATGAGCTTCATTTCGAACAGAGATATTAACCCAGAATGAAGAAAGTGGGCGACGGTTCTACATTTTCCTTCAGAGTTCGCTTTGGATATATTGGGTGGGAAATTTTTAGTGTCTTACGTTATCGGTAATTTTCATACTTTGGCTGCCGTTTCTCAAGCCTCAACGAAATTTAAATTAACATGCTACGATTTAGGGGGTAGTTACTAGACAAACACATGCCTTTGAAGAAATCAAAGATTTGAAGATGAAATAATCCAGACTTGAGAACAACGTCAGCTGTCTTCTACGGCGCAGAGAATCACTGGTATGGTATGATGCCGTGAAATCATGTTTCATATTGGGTAATGAAACCCTCCTCCCCCGCTCATTCCTGGGAAGATATCAGGTAAGATAGAACTCAATTTAGGTATCAAACTGTAGAGATTTTGAGAAATCTAACACCACTGCAAATTCCGATATGACTGATAAAAATCTAGGCTAGTACAATTTGTTTATTATATAAGTGATCAGGTTTTTAGACATATTCGTGATATTTTGCCTACATCTCTGTAACTCGTTCACTTGATTATAACCTCCACAAGATCGCTGTTCATGAGCTCGTAGTCTGCAAGATAAGCATTATTATCTAAGCGGTCACCGTCAAATACAAGTTGTATGTCACGGGTTGCGGGTATCTGCCTAGCACCACGAAAGGTAGCAACTAGCTCTGATACCTGCATCTCCAGGTTCAGCTCTACCTTCAAATCACCAAACCCGGGACACTTTAATAGTATCCTGTCTGGGGACGAAGTTGCTCCATTCCAGCTCGTATATTCCGGACTGGACTTGGCGTCAGTCACAGTCTGTGAGTGTGAAAGATCAGCGTTGAGAAGTTCTTCTGTAGAAGCTTCCATATGAACTTGTATATCCTCCACATCTAAGTGGAATGTGTCATGTCCGTTAAAATTACCGCTTTTTGCATGGATTCCCAGGCTTCGGCATGTAGTAACATCAAACAGTCTCTTACCCTTCCAGGTCAGGAAGATCGATTCTTGCATTTCTTTGGTGAATTTCTGGCGATTACACCATGCTAGACGGACATCCTTTAGAGGTTGGTTCATTTTTCGGCGGACAATCAATGGTTTGGTATTTGGGATTTTTGAGGTAATGAGGATCTGAACTATTGCTTGATTATGGGCAAGACTGTGATTATGGGGTCTGACAGTCTCATCAACTTCTCGAGCATTTTGGAAACGTGACTGCTGCACGGAAGCAATCTTGTTCTCTTTGACTGCTTTTGTAACTTCTGAATGCGCACGGATTGCCCCAACTTGAGTAAGCTCCACATCAGGTAGTGACTCACAAAATTGGTCGTCAGTCTCTGTTGTAATTCCAACTGTGATACCACAAGATGAGACTCCCGCGGATGGACCACAACTATCGCCATTGTTATTGGTCTCTTGTAGGTGCTCATAAGAAGCATTATAATCCAATGGTTGTTCCGCATTGTGCAGTGCTTCATCGTGAGTGGGGGCCCCTAATGAACTTTCTGCGGAGGGCTGTCTGCAGGAGAGACGTCGACGTTTGGAGTTTGTGTGCTCTGATTCCTGCTCTGATTCCTGCTCTGGTTCCTGCTCTGGTTCCTGCAGTACAGACATTCGGCTAGCACGAGCTTTCCGGTTGGCAGTGATAATGTCATTGTAGACTTGACCAGCATGACGGTAGAAATTCGGGTCTGTTCCCTCATCTCCCCTGCTTGCCCATGATGGCTTTTTGAAAAACGAACGCATTTGAGTCGAAGTGGTGAAAGGTATTGATGAGTGCAAATTGGATATCGCAGTGGAAATTAAATGAGTCAGAGTATTTCACCAGATGCAGTCATACCAGAATACTTGATAAAATAGTACTCAATGTTACAGTGTTACAGCTTACGGAGAGGCACGTGTTTCATGACCCCGGCCTTCGTCTAACCCCTTTCGGGCTAAGACTGATGATAACCCCCAATCACTACTAAATCAGTGAAATTGCCGATTACGATCACCTAGCGCCTGTTGAGCATTTCCAGCCCTTATTCAAAGCTTAGAGATAGGAAGAGAGCAAGGACAGCAAAATGGAGAACGGTGCCTCATCTGATGGCAAGGATCCCTCAGCTTTTCTGGGTGAAATCATCGGCGCCCCAGTTACTGTTAAATTGAACTCAGGCGTTGTCTATAAAGGTGAACGATCATCTTCTGCTTTGTTCTACCTACCGTTTCTGCCAAAATCGAGTCTTTCTCCCCTGGTACAGGAGAAGAGTACGACTCTTAAGGGGGACAGGAGATATATACAAACGAAGAACAGGAATATTAAACGCTAACAAATTCTTCAGGGGAACTTCAATCGGTAGATGGCTATATGAATATCGCTCTGGAGAAATCTGAGGAGTTTGTTAATGGAAATCTGTCCCGCAGTTACGGGGATGCCTTCATTCGCGGAAATAACGGTTTGTTATGTCACACCTAAGGAGATGAACACGTCTAACTATTTCTCTTTGACTCTCACAGTGCTGTATATATCCGCGCATTAATACTATGAATTTCTATTAGCGACTCTTTTCTATCAATTGGATGACCAGCGCAAATAGTCAATCCAAATGGTTTTTGTTTGAACCTCTGAACGAGGTTTCCAGCAGCGGAAACAATCTCTTATCTTAAGATCCATGTCAAATAAAAGGATAGTTATACTTTAGAATCTGCACTGCTTCCATTACGCAAATTAGGAATCGCTCATGGAGGGGTAACCGTCTGACTAGAGGCTGCTTTATAAGGTACGGCAGTGACCTAGGCACTGTGCCCCACCTAACGGTTAAAAGTGCGATTCTGGATTCAGTGCTGTGTTACAGACCAGCAAGTTAGGCTCCGAGTTTCAGATTCATCAATCATCCAGCCAACTTCACATTCGATCTTACTTTTATCTTTTCGTACTCGGTCTTGCAGAGCTTACTTTCTGCTTTATTTTTAAAGTGTGCCCTCGCAAGGAACGTATAGCGTCCAGAAGTCTTGAATCAATTCGCCTCTTTTGAATCGAACAGAATCATGACTTTACAGGCAATCAGATATAACGAGGGCAATCTGTCCATCATAGATCAACTGCAGCTTCCATATGTGGAACAATACATAACGATACAATCAAGTGAGGAAGCATGGCACGCAATAAAAGATATGCGTGTAAGAGGAGCACCCGCTATTGCCATTGTAGCGGCCCTCGCTCTTGCATCTGAACTTCATGGCCTTATGGCATGCAATGCCATTCCCTCAGAAGCCCCAGAGGTTCAAGCTTTCATTATGGACAAGCTAGATTATCTTGTGAGCAGCAGACCCACGGCAGTAAATCTGGCCGATGCTGCTCGGAAGCTTAGGGCCGTGGCGAGTGATCATACACAAAGGCCTGGATCGACTGGGCGCAGCGTCGCTACTGCTCTGATACAAGCAGCAGAGGAAATGCTGGTGAAGGATATTGAGGACAACAAAAACATAGGAAAGCATGGTGCCCAATGGATCATGGCCAATGCCGTGGGCAAGCCGAAGGCTACTGTTCTCACACATTGCAATACGGGGTAAGTACAACCAAGCTCAACTGCAGGTGATCCGATCCTAACCCGCCGTCAGCTCCCTTGCAACATCAGGTTACGGCACTGCGCTCGGAGTTATCCGCGCCCTTGCGTCTACAGACAATCTGAACCGTGCTTACTGCACCGAGACACGACCCTACAATCAAGGATCTCGGTTGACTGCGTTCGAATTGGTCCACGACCGTCTCCCCGCCACCCTCATAACAGACTCTATGGCCGCTGCTCTACTTGCGAAGTCTGGTACTCAGGTAGATGCCATCGTAGTGGGAGCGGATAGGGTGGCTGCGAACGGAGATACGGCGAATAAAATTGGTACTTATGGCCTCGCTGTGCTTGCAAGGTATCACGGTGTGAAGTTCCTCGTTGCTGCACCGCTTACTACAATTGATCTGGCCACCCCGTCCGGTCATGAAATCATAATCGAGGAACGTGCGGCCTCCGAAGTCACAACTGTCAGAGGACCGCGTGCCAACAAATCTACCAATGGTATTGAATTAGAAACTGTGCGCATAGCCGCTGATGGCATCGATGTCTGGAACCCGGCCTTTGATGTCACACCGTCCACACTTATTGACGGTATCATCACAGAGAAGGGCGTGGCAGAGAAGGACGCCGATGGCCAGTTTCACTTGGAGGACTTGTTTCGCAACTCCTCCTCAACATGAGCTTGTGTCGATGTCACCTCGTCTTGATTATAGCATTGCCCATTCGTCTGCTCGGTTTCTGGGTGCTTTTCAAACGCGTTCAGTAAATCCTCTATTTTGTTTTCCAGGTTGTCCAAATGATTTTCCAGCGCCAGAGCTGTCATTTCGCCACTGAGACCATCCTGTTAGGTGAAAACAAGGGTTGGTTGTCTTGACGCATACCTTGTAATATCCTTGAAAGCCTGTTGCTAGTGATCAGCATCTTCGTGTTGAATATAGCGATACCAAGGCGCTCAAAACGTATGTATACATTGAACCGCGATTACTGGTCATGCTCGGATCAACTTACTTGGGCGATGGTATCATTATGTTGGTCACTAGAAGGCATGGCTGCTGTGCGGGTATTTTGGTGGGTGATGGCTCAATAATTCGAAGGCCGACAAGAAATTGGGTGCTAGTTTTAGAGTATAAAATAATGTTCTGCCAGTCAGTTCCGCCATGTTTGTCCTAACTTCATTTCAGCAGCCTTCTAGATTGTCCTAGCAATGGTCATATGACTTTGCATACCGCCTCTGCAGTCCTGTAGAAGCAGCTCTGTAGAGTCTGTATATATAATATACAATGACCTACGTATGGTTCCTGGATGGAGATTCTCAGAGTATATTGAGTTCGGTATTTTTTTCATAGAAAAGATCATTATGATCGGAAGTTTGTCAGGGAGAAAAAAGCCTGCAGGCCCTGGCAGTTATGACAACTTGAAGACTACTACAATATTAAATGCTAAATTAAGTCTGTGTATTTACTAAGATATCTAAAAATGAAAATAATAGAAACCTATATAAATCTAGATAATAGAACTATTGATCCACTCCTTCCTGAATCTTTGCTCAAGGTATTTCAAAGATATTACTTTATCTTTGTATCAGGTTCTTCCTGGATCATTGTTTTGATTTTTTATATATATCTCTACAGTTTAACATTTACTCCTGTCTGAATCTTTGTTTCAGATGTTTTTGAATACTTTTTTATTTCCGTTTTAAAAACATATTAAATCAGGAAATCAATCTATTTATATATAATTAATTTTAAAAGTATAAATTTTTTAAAAAATACTTCTGATAGACTGGAATATCTAAAAAAATTTTTATTAATTTAAATAAAGTTTATAATATTTAATATTAATA